TCGCCGGCTCTTTCATGGGCGTCTCGGCAATAATATGCTTCTTAATCTGCCATGCCTCCACAACTTCCATGATTTGGCAAGGTGGACATCCACTTATTGCCCTTTGCTTGAAGGCTGATTTTAGAGGGGTAGTTGTAAACTGTATGTTGGAACTGTTCGTTTGCAACTGAGGAAGGAGGTTTCATTATGGAGATTTCAGTGGTGTTTTCATAGAATCATGTGAATCACAGAATGGCCAGGGTTGGAAGGGACCTCCAGGATCATGAAGCTCCAACCCATCACCCACATGCAGGGCCACCAACCTCCACATTTAATACCAGCCCAAGCTGCCCAAGGCCCCATCCAACTTGTCCTTGAACACCTCCAGAGATGGATGGAGCATCCAAGCATCCACAGCCCGTTCCAGCGCCTCACCACTCTCATAGTAAAGAACTTCCCCCTGACATCCAACCTAAATCTTCCCTCCTTCAACTTGAAATATTTTCAAGGGGAATTTTCAAGACATTTTGAATATGTGGTGGAGAATGACAGGAACTGGCAGATATAATGTAAAGATCTTTTTGCTGTTTTTCTGTCTCAAAATCAAAGAGTCACATCTGTAGCAATGGTTAGCATGTATGTGGTGTTGTATGTCCTTTTCAGCCTCTGCGGTCTTTCCAAAACAAAAGTGGAGAAAGTCTCATGGTAGATATGGTATATAGGTGTGGTAGAGACTGACAGATAAAAAGCACTGGTTGACTTACCCAGGGTCACACAACTGGTCAGTGACAGGGCTGGAATTTGAACCAGACCCCTGAAAACTTTTGGCATGTCTAACTATACCATCATGCAAGCTTTGTTGAGAAGTATGACAGGAAGAACTCCTTCAGTGATCAGCCCATGATGCAGAAGGAGCGTGCAGAGTTCCATCAGAAGCCAGTGGTGGGTGTCTGGCTCTTTCAAGACTTAAATTTCATTTGCAGTATGTTCGTGTGCTGGCTTTTAACAGATGTCTGTGACTTTTCAGGATCATACATCTGTTTCACCAGATTGCACAGTATGGTCAGGAATTATCATAACCATTCTCTGATATGAAAAAACCTCACTGCCAGAAGATAGAGGGCTTCTTATTTCCTGTGAAGCAGCACTGCCATTTTTCTGCATAGATCTTTTTGAAGGGCAAGAGCAGTATTCAGCAGTGTACTCTGTTCAGTGACCCATTAGCCTAGTAAGTATCTTTAAGAAAATATCCCTTACAGGAGATCTTTAATGGAATGAGAGAGCTGAAATAGAGAATTGTGTTTCCTTCCATTTGATAAAATGCAGGATGAATACCAAATCATGACTGATTCTGCTAAATGGCTAAGGAACTAACTGTGTGACTACAAAGGTATGAGGGGCTACATAACTACTGGTAACTACCACTACTATTGATAATGCAGCAGGTATTATTTTCTGCCACTGCCTAATTGCTTTAGAGGAACTTATTAAAACTGGAAGCACTATTGTGTCAGGAGCTATTTCACATGGAGTATCTCGAGAGCCATCAAGATGATCCTGCTGTGGGTTACAATATGTATGAGTAAAACCAGAGTGGTTTTGTGAGGAAGCTGTCATTTTGAAAACTCAGTTGGCAAGGGACGGTCTGCACATTGTTCTGTATCTTAATGAGACATTAACAACAGAAACGATGGCAGATTCTCATCAGATATTTCAAAACTCACTGCAAGAATCGCACTTTGTAAAGTACAACAAATATCTTTTGTTCCTCGATCCTTTGCAAGCATGACCTACAGTTCCTCAACTAACATCTCCCTAAACTTATTTGTCATATTGTTCACTAGCCCCTTGTAATCACAACTCAAGATACATGAATTAGTTTAATGAAAATAACCCCCCATTTTCTGTCTCAGAGAATGCCCAATTCTCATTAATACTAATGGCTGTTACACACACGTGCTGACAGTAACCTCACAGGTTTTATGGCTTAGTGATTTACCAATTATGCAGGCTGGTGTTAGTTTTATGGTGTGGATACTGCCTTAATGTTTCACATGATAAACACACAGGCTTGCATCTGGACAAAACGCAGTGGATTAAATGAAAGAAAACTTTCTTCTTGCCCAGCAGAACACTTAAAATCTGCATAACTGGAGCAAATTTTAGGAAGGTAAACTATCTTTCACCAAATGTTCCTTATTTGAGACTATGTGACTATTGAGTCTTATTGAGACTATCTGAGACATATTTGAGGCTCCGAAAGGAAACCAGCTCATCTCAGCTTGTGTGGTGCTGATTAACCAACATGTGAGGTGGAAGCAAGAAGTGATGTGAGTAACCTCTTCTTAGGAAGTCAGAAAACTCCATTAGGAAGTTCTCCTGTAAATTCTCTCACCACCAGGCAGATGTTCGTGCCTAGTGCAGTACTCCTTACTGCAGCTTACTAGCAACTGCAGACCTTACTGTAAACTGGGTAATAAACCAAATTACTTCAGGTCCAGGTATGTGGGGATCAGCAGTGGGGATTCTGGGGGTATTTTGAGGTATTTCTTTGAATGATTTGCTCAGTACTCTCAGTTGTATCTTTGAACTCATCTCTGTCTCCACTAACAAGTGCTGGAACCCTTGGCTAGCTTGTGATCCTGTTAGCTCAAATCTCATCAAGAGCTAAGAAGGTGATACTGCTTTGCTTTCAGTAAGTGCTGAGGCTCCTGTTGGAAAATAGCCTAAGAGAACCACTTATTGTGGTTCCTATCTGTAGCTATTCAGTGGTTCCTGAAAATGATGTGTTCAGCCTACAGTAGGTGTTTTATCCCTGTTTGTGATGGTGTAGCAGTACCTCATCAGACAGGAGAACATAGGAACGTTGTGTTTAAGTAAGCTTCACAGACAGAACAGAAGAAGCCTGTGGAAATCTCCACACCACATTTCTTGCTCTTGCTCATGTTTTTTTCAGTAGAGAGGAGGAACTCTGACCATATAAATGCTCCCATATGAGAATCTGTGTTGTGAAGTTATGGCCTAAAAATATGTTGTATCAAAACATAGCAGGCTGCTTAACTCCTGCATAATGGAGGAACTCAATGAAGAACTGCAGCTCATATTACTTTTCAGGTCTGTTTTACTTTCATAGTTTTTTTTTCCTTTTTTTTTCCTTTTCTATTTTTTTTTTTTTTTTTTAAGCAGGAAATTGCATAGTATAATTACAAGTTAATTTGCATTCTTATTACAGGCTGTGAGCAAGTATGTTCTTTAAAAAATATTGTTAGCAAGTGTGACTTGCATCCACAAATTTCCAACATGGGAATGGAGTTTATGGTTACTGCAAGTCCCTGCTCTTGTTCACTAACAGCCAGCACCCTTATGTTAAAAGCAGGACATGAGGGAGGTCAGCAGCGTGAAAAATGCAACTTCATTTTACAGTGCAACAGGCAAGGATGGAGAGCAGCTCAATGATTGTTTCCCCAACACAAAATGTGCCTTTTGAGAATTGAAGTTCACAAACATTTTGTCTGACTTAATGCTTACAGACAAGCATGGCCGAATGTCATCCAGAGGATGCTGTTATTTCCTGATGGAAAAGTGTCTTCTGTTTGTTGACTTTTTCTTCAGTCTCTTGTCTCTTTGAGATGACAAAATTCACTCCAGTGGAAAACATTGCTGCAGTCATTTTACTACAGGGCCTTAGATTATTTAAACCCACATTAGAATAAGTGGGTTCCGTTGATAAGCTTGCCTTTCATTTCTTTAATGAATGGAAGAAAACAGTTCTATAGTAGAAGTCTTGATTCCACTACATGCTTCTATAAGTGTGGTATGACTTCTGAAATGTGTTTGTTGTTTTTATTTTTTTACACAGTAAAGATTGTTAGATGACTGTACCTGTTATGCTTAATGCCTAATGCGTTAAGGAAAGAGTTATTGAGGAAAATAAACAGGAGTGCTCTCAGATCTGCATGTGTTGAGCCTCATGGATGGGTATTCTGCCCTGCTAAAACATTCGCCATGTCAGTGCAGACCTCTCACCTGCCAGCTGGAGGGAAGTCAGCCTGTAAGCATCTTTCTGCCTGGTGAGCATCGTGCTGATAACTGACTGATCATATAGAATGGGTCGGGTTGGAAGGGACCCCAAAAATCATGAAGCTCCACCCCCCCCTGCTGCAAGCAACGGCCACCAGCCTCCGCATTTAATACTAGCCCAGGCTGCCAGGACCCCATCCAACCTGGCCTTGAACACCTGATGGCCATCTCAAGGAGCATTATTGGTGTACTCCGCACGATGTCTTGCTGGTACCTTCCAATGAGGTTGGAGCCATCTCCTCAACACCCAGACCCTCGAGGTGAATCGCATCTATCTGGCAGCTACAAAAAGCTTTTCTTTCAGTAATTTACCTCAGTTAGCTGGAGTTGAGCTGCTTTTATGCCTCGATTGGAGATAACGCTAGTGAAATAGCAATAACCTCACCAACTACTTCTCTTCTGCATGTAAATCCTTTCAGGAAGTGCATGACAGCCTCCCTTTTCTATGGTCTCCGTTTGTAAAGAAGCTGTTATCACAGAATAAGTTTAATGGCTCGTGAATTTTGTGTTGAAAGGAGCGTCTCCCTCTGACTTCTGATCCGCCTGCAATAGACCTACTGGCTCGGCAGCAAGTGCGTTAGGCTAAATATGCTTCCTCCATTGACTCTGAAGGTAACAGCCCTAAATGCCTCATTAAATTTTCACGGGTGACTGAGAGAAGCCATGAGAAAAACACCACGCTAGCAGCGGGGTGACAGCGGGGCGTTCAGATCCCTCCCCACGGCGAACCCCGCGGCCGCGGAGCCTCGAGGGACGGCCGGGTTCCACGCGTGGACAGGGGCCGCCCCCCGTCCCCAGCCCTGCGAGAGGGGGGGAGGGGGAGGAGGAGGAGACCGACCCCCGGCAGCAGCCTTCCTCCGCCGCACGCCTTCCTATCCCCTCCCTCTGGCCTCAGCGCCGCGCTGGCGGGGCCGGAGAGGGCAGACGGCGCGGGAAGGCGGCTCTCCCAGCATGGATGAGCCATGTGTATCCTAAGGAATAACAGCAGCTGCTGCGCCCACGATGGGGAGCAGAGGAATGCGCGGAGGAGAGGGCTCGCTGGGGCAGGTGAGGAAGCGGCTCGGAGCGCGGATGCCGGGTGGGTCGTCCTCCGGGGCGAGCGCAGCCGGAGGGGCCCTTTCCCTGCCGGGGAAAGGCAGGGGCTCTCCGGTGGAAGTTTTTTTTCGCCACCCGGAGGAGGAAAGGGGCTGAAATCTCTGCAAGTCGCGGCAACTTGAGGGTTTCCCCCGAGTCTCAGGGGCAGAAGCGGCTGATTTTCAGCTCCTCCATCCCCGGACGCGCTGCGCTGCGATGCTGTGCGGGGTTCCCCCCTCCCTTGCTACCCCCAGCCGGGCCGGGGCCGCTCCGCGGGTCGTTGCCGCCCCCCAGCTGGGAGTATCGATCTCGCTCCGCTGCCGGCTTCGCCCCGGCCCCGCGGGCTGTTAGCTCCCCGGGCAGCGGGCACGGCTCCGCGCCGCGGTGGTCGGGCTGTGCCGTCGCTGCTCTCCCCGTGAAGGCGCAGCCGGGGTGGGAGACGCCGCGCTGAGGCGCGGAGGGGAAATGGCGCTGGGAGCTGAGGGGCCGCTGCCCCCCAGACCATCCCCAGAACCATCCGCTTTACTCCCGGCAGCGGACGGGCAGGGGAGGCACGAATGGCTTCAACCTGCGAGCAGACGGTTGCGGGGCTGGGACAGCTGCGCGGGGAGCTGAGCGGCCGCTTCTCCTCTGGGTGCTGCCCGCGGTGGTCTTCTCCATCCTAAATACCCAAGGAATGGCCCCGCAATGCGATGGAGAGCACCCCACAAAGCTTGTCTTCCCCCCCCCCCCCCCCCAAGGTGATGGGGTGCTTTTAATTCCAGTGCCAACTTCTGTTGCGCTGTGCGGCTCCAAGTGAAGTTGAGGTCTTTCCCCAGAAGTAGTTGTGAAAGCGGAGTCCTTGGAACTCTTCGCCGTTTGTCTGCGTTCTGAATGCACGTCTGAATCACTTAATCATGTTTATTGTTTTCAACCACTCAAACGGAATAAAAATTACTTAGCGTTGATGGAGCTTGTCCCGCAAGCTGTCTCACAGTATGTTTCCGTTGCGAGATGCAGCACTGTGCAAACTATGGACCGTGGTATTGTTTATTGTTCTTCCTTTCTCCACCCCCACCCCCCCCACAGCGCTGGTATCAAGCTGTTCTTCTCTGTTCCATTCAAAAATAATGGGAGTTTTCACCAGTAAGTTCAATATTCCGACTTTTGTCTGAGATTTTTATCTTTTCTATTCACTCCTCAGCTAATTTTCATCAAGCTGACATATACAGGAGTGAAGGCATTAAGCTGAAGGGCACTTTCCAACTCTTGAAATGGAGCTGTAGGTAGAATTAGTGCTGGCTTCATGGCCATTGTTTATTTCTATCCCAGCCACACCATTCCCTGCCCCTTTGTCATTCTCACTTTGTCCATTACACCTTCTAACACACCATTCACTTTGGTCTGCAAGTTCAGATTTATGGTTTGTGGGGTTTGATATAGATGCTGCTCTTGGGCTGTGCCTCCTAGGAGATTCTGCTGCACTTTAACAGTATCTCAGCACAGTGATGGAGGACACCATCATGTTTTCTTGTAGGATTACCTTTGGGACTTCAGAGCCTGCACACATCAGTGGTTTCATCTTAGGAGGATTGAAATTGATTTTTTTTATTATTATTTTTAGTTCAGCCAGTGAAAGACCCTATGTATGTCCTTTGACCCGTGGCCTCACATGATGAAGTGACATCAGCAGTGGAGGATGTTGGCTTGCGGTTCATGCTGTAGGGCCTCCCAAGTAGTGATACAAGCATGAACACACTGTGCTAGTGGCCAGCCTGCCTGGTACTGAGAGCAGAACACCATTGTTAAGTATGCGTTGGAAGATGCATATATTGAAACAATTTTAAGCCATGAACCTCATGATTCCTTATTAATCCTTTTGTAAGGCCCACCTGAGGTTCTTGCTTCAAGCACAATGCAGGAAGGTTGTCTTTCCTTCTCATCCCTAGTTCTGACAGGCCTCTTTGCTTTTAAACAGTTTGGATTTCCAGTCCTGCAAGATGTTTGTATTGAATTAGGAGCAGCCAAGCTACTTGGTTAAATAGTGGTTTGATGAGAGAACTTCTGTTTTTACAACTGTGTTTACTTTTCAAAGTGATAGCAAATATAGGAAGGAAGACCAAGATTTTCTAGACTTTATAGTTCAAATAAACTTTCCCAGTCAATATTTAGACAAGGTCTTGATGGTTAAAGTTAACTGTGCAAGTCAATGTTTAGTCAAGGTAATGACTTGGTTTTTACAAACACTACCCAAGCATTCCTGCAAAATTAATCAGTTGCAGGATCACAGTACATTTGATCAGCCAGTTACTTAGGAATAAAATACATTATGAGTTGGTCTCAGATGTCCTGTGCTAGCTGATACTTAGCTGTGCTTGCCACCAGTCCTTTGTGGCCTCATTCTTACAGCACTAGTTCTACTTGTAAAGCATGTATGTCTGCACAGAGGATTTGTGGGATAAAATGAATCCTGTGCTATCTTCTTTTCATAGGTAGGGAAATAAGGCAGAGTTATGCTGAGTACCATCTCTTAAAAAGAACTGTAAAGCTGTGCAGTACAGCAGCAGCAGCCTTCACGTGTGCAGTTCCAAGCAGGTGGTTTCGGGTGGTTTGCAGGATGAGGTGGGCATTTCTGATAACGAAGTCATTGGATAAAATCTGAAAACAGTTTTGGTGACTGGGACAAAAGGGATGTAATTAAATGCTGCCCTTGGTACGCAGAGTGCAATAGTGAGGTGTATTGTGGTGTGGGAAAGAGCTGGAGGTCTCTGCTGCAATTCTTCCTTTCTTGAGGTTGAGTGAAGATCTTCATTCTTCTTGCTTTGGTCTCTCCAGCTGACACTAAAACAACAGTCTGGACTTCATTTGTTCCAGATTTTTTTTTTTCTTCTTTCTTTATTCCTTTTTTTCCCTTCTTTTTATTAATTGAACCACTTGCAAATGCATTCCATGCAATTACATGGGTATTAGAGTAGATATTCATTAGGATTTTACTAATCTAAACCTCAAGTGCTGTTCTGCAAATTTGCCAGCTTTTGTAAGGGTGTGCTTGACTTCACCAGTAGCAGTGTTTTATTATGAGTATTTTGATACAGTAGAATGAAAAGCATATATTCCAAATCAAGTAATTAATCAGATTTAAATATTTTCATTTGCATGCTTTGGCTTGATACATAGAGAAAATGCAACCCTGTACTTTGCACATAGCAGTAGGTTTTGCCCCAGTTTAGCCACAGTGGGATTATATTTCATGGCCCTGCTTTAGGATTTAATCCACAAGTCAATCTTCTGTTTCTGTCTAAAAGCAGCAAAATTTTTCCAACTTGAGAAAGTTAGTAAACCCATTAGTGTAAACAAGACAAAAGCAAGAGATTTGCCTCAAGCTGTGTACTCTTCTGAAGAATGGAAGCAGAGAGAGACTTGTTGGCTTTTCTTTTAATGTGTGTGTGACATTTGGAGGTGTAGGGATAAAGCTGGTGCTCAGGATGACCAGCTGTGCGCCTGTGCAGGTTTGGGGGCTATAGGCATCATGTCCCCAGCTGTGAGGATCTGGTTATCAAGTCCTTTAGACTCAGCTGCATGCTCTCACCTGATCTATCTGCAGCGGGACTGCTGAAGGGCTGTGCCTTGTGCCTTGCTCTTAGTCATAGAATCCTAGAATGGTCTGGGTTGAAAAGGACCACAATGACACAATGATCATCTCGTTTCAACCCCCTGCTATGTGCAGGGTTGCTAGCCAGCAGCCCAGGCTGCCCAGAGCCACATCCAGCCTGGCCTTGAATGCCTGCAGGGATGGGGCATCCACAGCCTCCTTGGGCAACCTGTTCCAGTGCTTCACCACCCTGTGTGAAAAACTTCCTCCTAATATCTAACCTAAACCTCCCCTGTTTCAGTTTAAAACCATTCCCCCTTGTCCTATCAATATCAACACATGTAAGCAGTCATTCCTCCTCCTGTTTATGTTTAGAGTCACTGGCATGGACTGATGCCAGCACCTCGGAGGTGTGAAGGTTTACTTAGGTTGCTCTTGGAATCAGAAAGCAGGGTAACCACAGCACGTCTTAGAAGTGCTGTGTTCTGGCACAGGAGGAGTGCCACAGGGCAGGCTTGGGCAGAGCTTCCAGCCTGTCATCCCTTGTCCTTTCTATGGATGGTGCTTCTCCCATCATTCCATTATTGCTGGTATAACGAGGATCCATAAATTGTTACTTTTCTTCAAGGTAAAAAAAAAAAAATAAATAAAAAATAGGGCAGAGTAATAGCTAAGTACACAAAAGCACTGTTACACATTTTTTCCCTGTATACACATATGTTTTTCTTTATATACATATACACACACAAATATTTAATAGCTGCTGCTTTACACAGATCTTGCTCAAGTCTTTGGATATTGCCAAGCAGCTGCAATGAGATACTGAGAGCTTTCTTTTTTTTTTTTTTTCCCCAGCAAATAGTGATTACTCTTGTGAGTAAAAGAACATCAGTTTCTTGAGAGTCTTTGCAATTCCCCAAGCCCAGAGGCAAATGAATAGAAATTTAGTGGACCACCTAGTTCTTGACATCGAATTCTCCAAAGAGGACTCTGACCTAATTTATATTGTATTGAATCAAATAATCCTATCATGCATGTGTGCTTGCCATTTTGTTTTCCTTTAGCAGGCATATTGCTGTCTTGCAAAATGTTCAGATTTAGCAGTTAGGCAGCGTCCCTGTGGTTTTAGGAGTAGCTTTTAGGAGTAGCTACTGGAAAATTACACATAGAGGACAGATGTGAATTAGCAGATCATCAAGATGTAACACTGAGACTGCTGGAATTATTCATGCCTGAGTGTGAGCGTATCATTGTGTAGTGCTGAGGGCAATCAGGACCCCTCCACTGCAAAGCCTTCCCATTACTTTTAAGGATGGAGCCACAATCTCACCAGAGTGGTTTTTGTAGCAGAAAAACCACGATGCAAAGATCTTTGTCATCTGTATGATAGGGCAACCGGCAG